CCCAAATCCTTTGAGAGCCAGATCCCACAGCCATAGCCCCCTTCTCTACCCCCTAAGACCCCGACATAGCCCCAGCATCCAGCCCCAGCACCCCCTATGGTCCCCCAAACCCATTTATCTCCACCCATTTATCTGCCGGTTCCTGCAGCTCGAGTGATGAGTAGTGACCACTCACTGGGTGTTAACCCCCCAAAAAACATGGGAAAACCCCAAAAAACTTGGGAAAGACTTCCAGGAGTAAAGGGCTGGGAGATGGAACAAGAGAAGGTCCCCAGATCCACCCCATGGCATGAAAAGCTTAGAAGAAAGCAGGAACGAGGGGTCTCAGGCACAGCTTTGGTCCTTAATTGCAATTAAATGCACTTTCAGAGTCAGCTGTTGGTAGCGGCTGTGATGGGCTTTTTTGGTATCTCTCTGGTCCCTTCTCAGCCTTGTTTAACTTCTCGGCCTCAACAACTTCCTGCAGCGAGGAATTCTGCAGTTTGATTAAACATTGCCAGAAAAAGTACTTCCTCCGATCAGGTTGGAGTTTCCTGCCCTGTCAATCCCAGCGCGGGATGGTCTCCACGTCCCAACCTCACTGCCTTTTGAGGGGAATGGGGTGAAATTCTGGGGCACCGAAAGTTTTGGCCCATGATTTGTTCCTGCTCAGCAGGAGCTTGTCTGGGTTCTCTTCTTCCAAGGTGGACACGTCGAAGCTGGATGGTGGCAAACGCCTGGTGACTTTGGGCTGGTTTCCGAGATTTTCTGCAATCTTGGCTTGGCTGGGGCAGCTCCTCTATTTGTCACAAAGTGTCCTGAGGAATTACAAATGGCTTGAAGGGAAACAACCTGAATTGCAAAAAAAAATTCCTGTGGTCCAAAGAAATATGCATTTCCCTGTTGCTATTTATATCTCAGACCTTGATCCTCTTCCAAACGCTCGTTTAGCAGCTTGCAAACGAGCGGCGCCTTTGATTCTGGAGCAGGAAAGTTTGCTGGGATCGTGAATGATTAAAGCTGAGAGATGGATGCAAATGCAACGCGCCGACCACGTTTTCCAACAGGCTTTACCGCCTTCCTGATGTTTTTCTCAACCTGGCCATGAGAAACTCATTTCCAAGTTCGGAGGGGAGGTTTGGAGGGGAATAACACTTGTTTCCTGCAACACCTTCGGGCACAAACTCGATCCTTATTTTCTAAATGTGATTTCCAGTGGAATGAGACAGACATTTCTTTCTGCCT